CCCTTCAAAACCCTTTGGCCGTGTAACAAGGATGGACATCGTCATCCCACAACTTTGAGACGAATCCGCGGATGAATCTTTGCATGAGAAGTTTCCTTTCATGTCCTTTTCCCCGGCCTTAAGACCTCAGGTCTTCCATACCGATTGCAACCTTTGCTTCCGTGATGGAGCCGCAGAGAGATCATATCCGGAGCTCTGGCTGCCTTCACCGACTTGTGGACAGGGTTGGTATACGAAGGATTGGAGGGACGGAAGGACAGAATGACTTCGTGAAAGGCGCCATGAGTGGTGTTTGGGTGCATTTTTGGGCGGTGTCTCTTTCTGGTCCCTGGCAGAAAGCTGTCTTGGCTTTCGGGGTGACAGGTGCAAAGCAACTTGGCACATCGCACTGAACATCTGGGCACTCTGCACAAAGCCAGGCTTCTTCAAAAACTTCTTTGGATCGTTTGGGTTTGACGTGGGAAAACCACCAATTCAGTCCATGCTCTCATGTTTCTCCAGCTGAAAAAGAATAGAAAATAACACTGACTCGACAGAAGGTGGTTGGAACTGATACACTTACGGTGTATTCAACAAAAAGGACATTCAGAGCTTTGACCCGGAAATTCAGAGCTTTGACCCGGCCATTCTGTACAACTTCCAAGAATCCCTCCCAGACGCTGTAAATGGGATTGGCATAGTTTTCGGTGGTTGAGTATTACTGGGAGTGGACTGGGGCACTGTTTACTTGCTTTGGACTGACCGTCTGACCATTTTTCTTTTAAAGTTTTGTTTACTTGTTTACGTAACCCCTCACTCTCTCGAGCTGACTAGCGTCGCATGGTTGCCGCCAGTGTAGCTAAAAGCATCTTGTCCATTGGACGTGCAACACGATCATAACCTGAACATGGCTTCGCTGCTGTCTCAAGATGGCAGACACTTGGCACCAGTGAGGTGAGCCAAAGTCCGGGAGTCCCTGGCACCGTAGCTTCACCTCCCCTGTGGTCGTTCTTTCTTACGGAAAAGCCAGGGTCCCCCTGTTTTGACCAACAGCCAATTGTTGTGACCAACCACTTCCTTGGCTTCAGTTCTTGTTGACGTGGTTACTGTCGTCGTCTCCATCAACAAGCAGCGTGTTGAACCATGCTGCTTTCCACTCGTCTTTCCACCAGCGCTCCGGAATTGGGGCCTTTCCCCCGTTTGCATCTTGAACCGTTGGAACACGGTCCTAGGACACCGACGGTCCTCGCCGCCTCCGAGGACTGGAGCTCGGTGCTCTATCTCACTGACACTGGTGGAGCCACTGCGATCTTTCATCGTGAAGAGGTGCAGACGGAGACGCGGGAGACGGAGACGGAGACGGAAGGGTGCCGAGCGAGCGGGTGCCGAGCAGCGTGCCTGGAGTTGGGGGGAAGAGAAATCGACCTGCACTGAACTATAGGAAAGAACATTTGGTTGTGACTACTTTGGACTTTGGGAGCATGGTGGCAAAGCCTGAGTTGTGTTAATCCCAGATCTTGCGCAAGGCTAGGCTTGCACTCAGTGAAACAAGTAGTGCGATGGGAATCGTGCTTCAGGAGAAGCCAGCACTTTGTGGGTGAAGGAATGCAAACATGGTGTTTCTACTGCCCACGTTTTCTATGCTCCCAAAGTAGATAAAATGACAGTCCAAGGATGTCCAAGGTTTCACCTTCAAAATTGTGTGCGGTTCCTATATATTTAATATAGTGAATTTGGGTTCGCGGTCAGCGGTCAGCACGGAGAGCTTGGATCGAATCACAGGAACAATCCTGGATGTCAGTGATGGTGCTTTAACTTCCAATACCTATAATTCTACAAAATATACTTGTACCTGGATCTTCCAACTGTGTAAAAAATCAGCCATTTGGATCCATTTGGCTTGCTTTATAGACGAAAGGCAGACATTCTGCATAGGTGGAAGATCCAGGTCTAAATACAGGTTTAACCGAACTTATAGGAAGCTAGACCCGAGGTCTGTTTGTTGTGAACATGTGTTTTTCATCGTGACCGCCTGGTGACGCGTGAGCCTCTACCCAGTCGTTTGCAGTTGGACGATGAAAGGACAGGTGTTTGACCTGGTTTGCCATGTAAACTCGTTCAGGATTCAGGCTATTAAAACAAAGGTGCGGCAGGTTTCCCAGGGTCTACACAAACCCCAAACACCCTGCAAACACAGTTGACAGTGCAGTGTTGTGCTCTCATTTTCACGTCAAAGAATCCCTTGAAGATTCCCTGTGTGCACAATGGTGCGCATGTGACGAAGTTTGTATTAGCATCTAGCGGTTTGATCAGTGCCCACAACTGGGGAGTGTCTCAACAAGATTTATTCGACTAGACTATATCTTGCTATTCAACATATAGTCATTCCATGTCATTCCACTTCTTGACTACCCAAGCACTTGTCGTCTGTCAGATTAGATCCTTCAGTTTTGCTTGCAGCCAGAACCTGTTCTTGCGATCACAATCTGCTGAGAGTGTGCAGCATGCCCTGAATAACGTGAGGTTCAGCTCTTTGCAGGGCCAGACTCACATTTTTTTTTGCAGGGCCATCCATAGCTATGGTTCAGTGGCGCTTCTGACAGTTGTGGAACCTATTGTCTCCGGGCTTAGCGCCTTTTTTTGTCTGCAGGTGTTGGCTAGCTGGCCTCGGACAGGAAGGCGTGCCGGATTCAATTGTGACCGCTTTGAGAGATGGTCATAGCAAAGGATGGCTTGGAAAACTGGAGGATAAGTAATTTCGGAGCCAAGTCCCAAAAAAGTCTGGTTCTTTCTCTTTGTGCCTTGGGTCTTCTTTCACACCGAAGGCTCGGCGTGTCAGCTATCACAAAGCAGAAGGCGTTTGTGCTGTTTCCTTGCAGGTATTTGCTTTTTCCTGGTTCACATCTCCACTGCGTGTTGTTTCCTGAAGAGAGACAGCACTTCGAAAGGAGAAGGGCTGAGAAGGGGGTGGGAGGGATAGGGTCTTTAACGGCAGCCTTTCCGAAACCATGGTCTTACAAGCACATGAGTATCATGGATCAAGTCTCACGAGCCACCAAAACCGAAACCTATGTCCCAGATGAAGACTCGCCTCATTCGATTCATACTGTCGTACACTCAGCAGTTCTGGCGTTTTATGTGGCGATCGCTAACCAGTGGACGAGACATTGCCAAAGCAGCTCGAAACGGTTACAACTCAGCCCACCCGCTACACACCAAGATACACCAAGTGATTCTATGTTGTCAAAATTCCCAAGTACCGAGGTAGAAGAACCAGGTCTCGAGGTTCTAGTAAAGAACGTACTGCTACCAACTTCAACTGTCCAACCATCATCATCATCATCATCACCATCATCATCACCACCATCATCATCATCATCATCATCATACAGGTGCATAGATAACACACCTATATACATAGATACAGGTGTTTGGATACAGGTCTTGAGATACAGGTGTTGAGATGCAGGTTTTGGGATACAGGCATGGAGATACAGGCGCAGAGATACAGGTGTTGAGATACAGCTCGGGACACTTACAAAACACACCCACACAACTACAACTTCGACATCTTTCTAATGCATCTCTTACGCGACGGGGTGACCCAGCCGATGCTCGCAAAGCGCGGCCCTCAGCGGAGATCGCGTGTGTCGGATGCGCGAAGGTGTGTTATATATGCGAATCGTCTTGATCATGCAAGTCGTCTTGATCCCTGGACACCCCTTGCACGTCGAGTGCTCAAACTTGAGGTGAAGTGTGAATTTTGCCTGTCCTTGGTGAACCCTTTGTGGCGATAGTGCGTGTCCAGTGCTCAAATGTGAAGTGAAATGCGAATTCGGGGGCTCTTGGTGAACCATTTGCGGAGATTGCGCGTCGAGTTGCCAAAGTGTGTATCCGTCGTCGAAGATCAAGGTGGAAGTTGCCAAAGTGTTGAACTGTCGTCGAAAATGAAGGTGGCCAAAGTGTGTAACTGTTGCCGACTATGGCCTCAGAACTGGCAACTTTGTAGTACAAATGTACTGGACGCCCCTGTGGCCTTGCGGTACAAACGTAGTCGGCAGAACTGTTACCTCAGAACTGGAATATTGTGGTTTGGTGTAATACACGGTGTAATATACAGGAAACGGGTTCTGGGAGCTCTGGCCTCAGAACTGCCAACTTTGTAGTACAAATGAAGTGCGGGAAGCGGCTTGCGAGCTGTGGCCTCGGAACTGGCAACTTTGTAGCACAAATGCAGTACGGGAGCACTCAGTGCGGGAAGCATACACATAGCACTGCGGGAAGTAGCGCCTGGATGTCACTGGGAAGCGGGATGATTGGCGGTGTCAATGAGGTTTGGTGTTACATTCTTGTAACTAGTCAGTGGCACGCCGTGTGGCGAAGTGACGTCTGTGACGTCGCTGTTCCATGCGGATTGGCGGAGTCTTTGTGTGGAAAGTGCGTTTGCGTGTGTCCGTGAGTCCGTGCCATTGCAAAACTGCAGAACGTGATGGCGTAAATTTGGCGTGTCGCTGGTGAGCAGGATGAGTATGATGGTGTGATGTCACGTGTTTGCAGCTATAGTCTGTGGTGCACGGAGCGGGGAAATTGCGGCCGTCTACTGTATCTTGGCATTGGCACCAGTGTGATCCACATAACCATTCTCACCATCATCCTCATCTTCATGGTCATCATCAACACCATCTTCGTTGCAACCTTCATCCTCATCGGTACCTTCTGTCATCTCCTGCTGTGCCAGTTGGTTCTGAGGGTTGCAGCTCATAAACTCACTTCCCAATTTCCGAACTTGGACTCTGCTTGAGTTGGTTTGGGCAGGATGATCTCTCATGTTATCTCACTCAGTTGGATTGGAGCCCCCCAAACTGGGTTTCTCCGGGTGGTTGGTGGACACCTCTCCCACATCACTAAATGCAAGTGAGATGTGTGGAGTTTCAGCTGCAGCCGAGGCAGGTGCCAGCTGTCAGGGCACAGAGTCGCAAAGTTGGACGAAATACTTACTAAAATGTGGGGGTGGGTCAAAGCCTGGAGCCCCGGTCCACCATGTAGCTCAAACCTAGGTATCTTGGTTTTGACCCACAGCCAGACTGACAGGATGGTCAAACCCTCGCATGTGTGACTCTTGCATGGCAACTGCAGCCGTGAACATCAAACAGTGTGTTTCTTCGAACTCCTGCTATATGCATTCGAACAAAGATGATGTGGAACTTATTGGTTTTCTATGTCTATGTGGTGGCTTCCATGCGGGTGGAGCAGTCCGACATGGAGGCTGACAAAGCCCAAGAGGTGCTCCGCCAAGCATGTCATGCTGGAAGATGCCGAGAATCACCCCCCCAGTCAAAGGTTGCTGCAGGACGTAGGATTGTTTGTAGTTCTCCTTCTTTGACTCAAAGTGCTCGAAGGTTTTCAGTGGCGCGGTGGCCTTTGCAAACGGGGACGCCTCTTTCACTGGTGTGGCTTTGGGGGTGAAGCACGCATGCCAATCAAGGATTTTGAACACCAGGGGCTAGGGCGTCCAGTGTCATTCCACCAATGAATCTCAACAGCCATATAATATATTGATTAGACAATTAGCTAAGTTGATCCATTGTATTGACAGATTGATAGATTGATTGATTGATTGATTGATTGATTGAATGGTTGATTGATTGCTTGATTGATTGATTGATTGAATGGTTGATTGATTGATTGACTGATTGATTGCAAGACCCCATACTTTTCGTGCTTTGGGATGCTCAAGCTCGACTGTCAATTGCGAACCTTCAGCCTTTTTATGGCGATTATGCAATTGTTGATGTTCTTTTGGCGGATTTTGTCCACGACGTGACAGGAGATGTTCCCTCATTCTGACAAGATGACGCCGGAGAAGATTCAGGAAGAGCTGGTGGACTTCCTGAAGGCGAGACTCCAAATTGTGAAAGGTATTCATTCCTATGGATGTGTCGACAGTCGAAGTGCGTAGAAATCAACCAATCTAAGGGAGGAAACTCAAGCAAAAGAACAAAGTCAGGTCGAAGGTAAGTTGTGCTTAATATGATCATCGTGGCACATTGTCAACCAGACATGAATGTTGAGAGCTTCAGTCAGGTAAACAGCAATCCCCTGTCCACGGTAGGGAGTATGAACACTTCACCCATTTCTAGCGAGATGCACACGGGAGTGACTATTGGTTGACCACGGAAAATTAGCAGAACAGTACCAGGGAGGCTAAGCTAAGAGGTTTTGGGGTTGCAGGTTTTGACCCAGGGCCATATATATATATATATATACTGTATATATATATATATATACTATATACTGTATATATTATATATATTATATTATATATAGTGTATGAAATGCATCATTGATAACACCTAGTGGATCCTATTGGTGCGATCCAAGATCCAAGATCTTCCGATCAATCATGGATGGTTTGACTCGCTTTTGACTTGGTCGCAGTGGTGGGAGACTCCGTCCCTCCGCAACAGAGGTGCCCCGTGAGAGTGGATGTTTTTCAGACGTCTCAAAAGAAACTCATACGACTGGAGACGTTCATCCAGTGGGATGGATGGTGGGAGGACACTGGACTTCTTGACAAAGTGAATGACAATTGCCAGGAAGGCTTGTGGATATGGATTGAGGAGGACGTGGGGTGGTTTCAAGCGAAGTGCGTTCCCCTATTTACATGCAGAGTCAAAGGCCTCCGTATCAACACAATTGCACCCTTTCAGCCGTCAAGGAGAGTGATGTTGTCAAACCATGTCAAACATGTGTATATATATATTATATCTGTTGGTTCTTGAAGCTTCTGAATGACATGTCTTTTTACATCCTTTGTTTGCTCGCTGCCACATTCGTGTTGGATACAATATTTGATAGCACTATGAACGTCAGCATCTCAGCCAATTCCGAACGCCACTGTTTCTCGGAAATTTTCATTATATGCCGGAACATGTCTTTGTCACACGGTGTTGAAGCCACATCAACTTCAAGGCAGTCAACTTCGGGTTCGGTGAATATCGCCCAGCAACACTCGAAACCCATGTTGGTGATAACCATGTGCTCCACGTGGATCGCTCTCAGCCCACAGTTCTTTGGTGAGAACGTCCATGGATTTGGTTAGATGTATGCGGCGGTGGGGAGAGTAAAGGAGTGAGCACCGGAGTCGACGACATGGGAATAGAACAAATTAGAACTGACCCGAGTATTGGAGAAAGCGGACTGGAGGACAAAGTTGGCATGACCATAGACTTCTTCACCCCTTGGCAGTTCAGCGTCCAAGTCACAAGTCTGGCCATGCAGGACCAGTTCTTCCCGAAGTACCAGGCCCCGAGCAAGAAGACCCTGGACTACATCGAGGGGAAGTCTCGCAAGGATGGGCCATGGCCACAGCTGTACCCAGTTGACGCTTCAGACAAATCAACCTTTCGTTTTTGGAGGTCGCTGGGGTCAAAAAACTGGTGGTCATACGTCGGGAGTCATCCAAGTAGCGACATCTCCTGCGGCGGATTTCACTGCGGCGCAGGACCCATGCCAACAGCAGGTGGGAGGACTGTTGGTCGAGCTCACGAAGGCTTGCGAGCAGGTGACGTTCTGTGCAAAAGTCGTTGAGTTTTCATGCTTGTGGCTCCACGGATTTTGAGAAGTTATTGCAAAGCTGGTGTCCCATGTGCATGTAGTTTTGTGTCTAGGAGTGGAGGCATTCCATGTCTAATGATTACTAATTCTTAAGCCATCGGGAATACTAATGGTTATGCTTGGTGACTGGTGTTTAGAACGCGATGAATGGCTATATCACAGTTCCTCCTGGAAGCTTCGGGTTGTGCTTCCCAACCTGTGTTGGGAGACAGGGACTCAGGTCTCATGCATTGATTTCTGCTGTGGATACAGGGCTCGTTTGTGGCGACGGTGGTGTTGCTGCTTCAATTAGTGTGCACGTGTGCTCCTTGTGGCAGCGTGCAGGCGTGCTGGCGAGTTGCACCAAAAGTGACTGCAAGTGCTTGTGCTTCTGGGTAGTGAATTGCAGTACTTTCCCAGGATCAAAGCCGGGTCTCCTACGGGTCTTGGCAAAGAGGTTGCGCAGCGCCAGCACATGCCACACTTTCTTCTCCAATTCCTTGCTGCCGGCCTGCTGCTTGGATAGCAGGGCCTGGCCTAGCCTGAACAAGCTAGAGGGGGTCGGGGAGGGCGCAGTGCCCCTCCAATAGAACAAGCAACAACAATAACAACGTCCCCTTCCGGAGATGGCACGTGAATGGAGCGGGTCATGACCTTCCAGTGTTTGATTTGGCGGGGAGATCCAGAGCAAACTCTCAGTTCGTGCCGACACCTTTTGTTTTTTCACTGGTGGGAGCATGCTCCGGCAACCTTTGTCCTTTGTAACAAGTCCAAGTCTTTGGCCACCCAGGCTTCCAAGTCTGCCAGGAAATCGCATGTGGACTGCTTTTGCTGGTAGTGCTGCCCCTGGCTTGCTGCTTTGTTGCTGGTTTTGCTGCTGGCTTGCCGCGGCTGCTGCTGCTGCTGCTGCTGGTCTCCTGGTTTGCTGCTGGTCTGCTGTAGTGCTGCTTGTTTGCTGGAAGCATGCTTGTGGGTCGCTTCGGGCAACGTCCTTCCCGACTTTGGTCAGAGAGTGTTCATACATGGCCTCAGACAAGCCCAGCGCGCAACACAGCCAAGAGAAGTCTGCAGTGTGCGTGAAGCAGTAGCCTGGGGGAAGTAGCACGCAACACGGTGCAAAGAGGTCTGCACAAGAAGGAGAAGGAGACAGCAGCATTTCTCAAAACCTGTAGAACTTCGCCCTTCCCTGGCAGTTGGGGAAACATCAATTTCTGACTTTTCACCCCTGACACAGTAACTATCCAATAAACATCGCATGCGATACATGACCTATCAGATCTTTGACTCTTTGTTTCAAAACGTTGGCAGGCAAAACCATGGGATGATCGGAATTACTTTGGCAGTCTGCCGCTCAAGACATGTGTGGACTCCGCCAAGGACGTATTCCTGCATGGCAAGGACATCATAGCGGCCATGCGTGTTCCCAGCAAGCTAGTCCAAAGTAAATGGAACCCGGTAGGAAGGGAGACTTTGCGCTTGGTGCAAAGTCTTTATTTTATGAAGCAATGGGTCGTGGGTTTGGCCACAACGGAGAAAGCCGCCATTTTGTGGGCCGGCTTTTGGACCGACCCCGATGCCCCCAAAGGGCATTTGGAGCGGTCCTCGAAGGAAAACTTGCTCAAGTTTGCTCGCCTGACGGAATCTCAAACAGTCCATCCAAGCACCAAGCTGGGCCAAATGATTGAAAAATTTGATGAACTGGACCAATGCCGTGATCATCCAGTTGTGGCCAATTTCTGGTCCTTTGCAAGTTTTTCCTTCGTTTTGGGCATGAGACAGAAGCACCAGGGCACCGTCATTGCCTTGGTCAACAAGGACTTGACTGGCAAATGGCGCTTGGACCAGTCCGTTTTGTCTCAACACGAGATCCCGACTTTGGGCATTGCGGCATGGGCACTTGGTTGGTGGTCCCCGCAAATCATCTTGCTGGATTTGAAGGGCACGTGTAGTAAAACAAGCCCTATCTTGCGGAAACGGATGTTCTCGGACCTGAAGCCTTGGTTTCGTGTCCAAAAGCACTTCACGCCTGAAGAGTTTGCATATCGTTCCCGCCCAACCTGGACTTGCATCGATTGCATTGAGAAGTCGTGCAGTTTATCATCAGTTCTGGCCAAGAATCTAAAAAAGCTTCAAGAGGCCAGAAGAATCGATTTCACTGCTGGTGTGTTTTGACGCACGATGGGCATGCGTCAAACGATAGAATTCACCAGAGATTTCCGAGGTAGAATGCAATCAATGGTTACGTTTGTGTCCGCAGGAAGTACCCCCCCGTGAAGAACTACTTGGAACCTTTTCAATTGAGTTATAGCAGGGAAGTGCGGACCAAAAGGAATCAACTCAGTGTTTGAGGATTGAAACGGGAGCTGATGGCTATTGAAACGGAAGCAGGAATCGCATGGGAGCTCAAAGTAGCAAAGATGTCAACACCTCATGGTGGTTGTTTTGGTGGTGATCTCAGCTCACAAGCAATTGTTCAAAAGAAACGTCAAAAGGAGTGAAGAAGAACATGTTTGGCAGGAAGAAGCTCTTTATGTTTCTACCCCAGGGCCGGCCCAACAACATATCAGTTCTGGGGTTGTTTTGATGTTGCAAGAACTTGTTATAGCTGGCATTCCATTTGGCTCACAGTGTTTCAACAGTACTGTATATATACATAGTAGCTGGTTTATATTTATATACACATACACATATATATATACATATCTACTATCTACTAGTACACATATATACATAGCAGATTTATCTTATGCATGAATGTTTTTAACATGTTTTGCCAGCAGGCCCAAGACCAGAAGGACCGAAAGAGCATGGAACTCCTGGAAGCTGCGGCTGCAGACCACACCTACACGGGGTTGAGACTGCTGGATTCGGGCGCTGATCCAAACGTCGGGGGCTTTCGGGGTTTCACTGCCTTGCACCGTGCGTCGCAGAATGGCAACTTAGCTCTCACACGAGCGCTGCTGCGCAAAGAGCGAGGGAAAGGATTGAGGGCAGCGAAGACTGAGGGTGGAATGACTCCACTGATGTTGGCTGCTGGATCTCCTAAAGCAGGGCCGCGAGTGGTGAGGCTGTTGCTTCAGGAGAGAGCAGATGTGAATGCCAAGGATTGGTGGGCCCGGACTGCGCTGACATATGCGGAAAAGTGGGGCCGTGTCCCCGAGGTGATCAGCGTTCTCAAATCCTCTGGCCGGAAATGATCTCCGGGCGATGCTCTGTGACTCTCAGTGACTGCATGCAGTTCATTGGACATAAACAGAGCTCCAGAGCGCCAAAGTGGGGTTCCGTTTGGTTGGGCACAGATCAGAGTGATTGTATGTATGGTTTGGAAGAAGATACTGATTTACAAATGTCTTCGAGACATGGTGCCAATTCGCAAGTCATGATTCATGATCATATGTTGAAATCATAAACTGGATTTGCGGAGTGGTTTTTAGACGTTTTGAGTGATTGACACTTCTTCTTTGGCGGAATCCAAGTTTCATCTTGGGTGTCGGTGTTTTCTTGTTGGCAGCCAGGCTGGCACATGGGCGTGTATTGGAAAAGGGAGACCCCTCCTGGCCCAATGCATAGACTGTTTGTCTTTACATTGTTTTTATTACTGTATATAGCTGCCAAATACATCCAAATACCATAGTAACTATACAAATACCACCATCACCTATGAAGTTATCTTATTTGTTGCGGATCTATTGTTTGGGACTCCGACGGACTGGGAGGCTCGATCAATAGACACCAGTCCTAGCCATTCGAACACCCACAGCCCTAGCCTTTGGTCTAGCACCAGGATGACCCTCCTCATCAACTGGTGGACTCACGAACCACACGGTTTGTGCAACTTGGCAGCGTATCTGGGGGAGCCGAGCAGCTGTGCTGCATCAGTTGCAAGATGGGGAACAATTGGGATCTATTGAGGAGGTGTTCACTTTGTCAGCTGGACAGCTCAGATTCTTTGCTTCGTTCTTCAACTGAGGTCCAGAGTCCATTCCATACCCAGACACATGCCTGCAGCAAGTCTGCCTTCATTGACCCCTTTCACCACGCCAAGGTAGGTAGATTTGATTAGATTTGCCATGGCTTGCCAGTCCCATGGAGTGTCTGGCACAGTACACTGGGCCACTTCAAACCGTTTGAGGAAGCTTTCCAACCTTACGAGCTCGTTCCGGGCTCGTTCCGATGTCATCGAAAGCAACTCGGTGTGCTCCGATGAAACGTGCGCGGAAACGTTCGCCCGGCTCCGATGCTTCACTACGCTCCGGTTTTCAGAGTTGAAAGACCAACACATTCGCCCGCCCAGTTGGTGGGATCCAAAAAGTTGGTGTCTACCCCAAAGCCTCGACGTGCTACGAAAGCCTCGACGTTGACCTGGTGTTTCGGGTATGTCTGGCAACGGCATGAGGAATACACTCGGGTGTATTATGAACCAATAGGGCCCCCAACCCATGGGTTCTGTTGTCCTGCTTCCACAGGGGTCTTGGGGGCGTGTTAGTATGAATTATTCTAATAACTCACACCCACATTGCACGGTCTACATTTGGAGGCCCTTCACCTGGTGCCGGAGAGGCTGCCGCCGCTTGCCTGGCAGAGCTCACGGCAACGTTGACCGTGCCGCTGCTTGACCGTGGCTCCGCCAAGCAAGGCCTCCGGATGGGAGAAGAGAGAGCCCTGCTCAGCAGCTTCCACACCGGATTATGTTGTTGAGGATATTGGTTCTCTGGTGGATTTACATGCAGTTGCAGTATGTGAATTTCATCTTGGTTGAACACGAAAAACTGCATGTTCTCTCAAAACGACCCTCCACCTTCGATGCGGTCGATCTGGGCTTTGGTTGGGGGTTTGGAGAACTACACTCCCTGATTTGGAACTTTTGAGGGTTGTCCTATTACCTGTAACAGTCGGTACTTTTTGAGAGAAACGCCTTGATCAACCATCATCATCCCCTGGGTTCAGGGAATGGGGATGAATGATGAATGGGGTATATACCCAAATGACATCATCTAAGACCGTCAACCTTGCCTCCTACACTATCTAGTCGAAGTGACCTTGGAGTGGCGATCCACCGTCGGCCACTCCATATGCCAACAGAGGTATTTGGTGGGTTCATTCGGAAAGGCCGGTCACAGACGCCCCAGGCTTCGAGGAGCATTTGGAGGACGGCAGCCGTCACGGCCAGTTGTGCTGTCTCCATCAGTCTCCATGCCCTGAAAGGGTTCCAGAACAGGATCTGGGTTTGTCTTTGATAGGGCAGACCTTAGACTGATCGATTTCCCGAAAATTGCAGGGGTGCGTTGCCTGGGAGGTCTCCTTATTATACAGACCATTACAGACCCATCTGCTTCTCAGGAGAGAGGGTTCATCACACCATCCATCAAGCTACAAAAGCCCAAGGTTTGGCAAGAAGGGAAGCACCTTGGGTGCTTGCAAGGACTTGGGGGGTCTCCTCTTTGATTCCCTTGATGCAGCAACTTCATGCATCTGGCCGAGCAAAAACTCAACTTAAACCTCTGAGCAACATGTCCTCTTGGCCCTGAGCAACGGCCGAGCAGCCGGCCCCACCCCCTCACGTCCCGTGCCGCTGACACTGCTGACGCCTCGTTCGTTCGAAGGAGTGGCGAGCACAACGGGTGCCCAGGGACCTCTTGCCCGCGATCAAGGTGGGGTGTCGCCGGTGTAGCCCCACGGGCTGACTGAGCAACAGGCTGAACTGCAAATGAAAAGGAATTGGCAAAAGAAGATTGATTAAATTCATAACAGATCGTTGTCTTAAAGACAAACATGAAAGTGGAACCGACCGTAGATCATGGTAGATCTGGAGCTCGAGGACTTGGTCTAAGGACCAAACCATCCCAAAGACCTGGAAGCGAGGGTCTCGACAACGATAGCTACTACGTGGAGTTGCTGTGAAGCATGCGGCGCCACCATGGTCGCACCACGGTCGCACCAGATCGTCCACCAATCGGCCAGGATGGGCTTCTGAGCGTGAGCTACCTGGAAAGACCTCCTGAAGATTGGTGGAGCTGAGACGTGCCACGAGAAAAGTGGCGCGGCACGCGGAGCCCTGTGCCTTGGGGCGAGATCAGACCCCTAATCCCCTAAGTAGCGGAGGAAGTTCACAGAAGTTCATGTTTTCAGAACTCGTTGCTTATGGATTAGGAAATGGTCATCAAAGACAACATTCATTGAAGATCAAACCACATTGGACATTGGATTTGATTCTCACAAAGGCTCCTGAACATTCTGGGCGCTCAAAAGGACTCTTTTTCTGCTGGGACTTGGCACCACACGTGCTGGTGAGGTGGCTTCGGTCGAGTCAAGGCCTTTCTTAGTCGAGCTGTGCCGTTGAAGCCTTTTGCCGGGATGCTTCGACCCAGGAAAGGAGGGGTCTCGTTTTATGGCACAACAGAGTGGCACCCCTTACTAACCATTCCACATGTAATTACTCAGGGGGGGTTCAAGATCCAAACATCGCCAAAAGATTCAAAAACCCGTGAGTGACAAGGCAGGCCTGCAGCCCTTGGTGTTTTGCTGCCAGGAAGCGGAACTCCAACAACTCCGTGAAAGCAAAGAGGAGCAGCTGTGAGATGCATGTTTGTTTCTTCGCTGTGAGAGCTGGGGCCATTTCAATTCAAGTCATGTTGACCGGACTTTGCTTTAGAGCTACTCCTAGGTGTTTCCAAAGGGGCACCTAATGCTTCTTTTTTTTCTCGGTCATCCGTGGGTCCGTGTGGAGGTACAGTGAAAAAAGGTTTCGACGGCCCATGTGGTTGCTCCTTCACTTAGGAGCTCTTGTCCAAAGTGAAAGCTGCCAGGCGAGTGGGTTGTTTGGCCATGGAGTGTTGCAAGGAGTGGCCCTGGGGGAAAGTTGGAAGGCAGATGAGGTAGCTATGGCGCCCAAAAGCAGCTTTGACGGGCTCAGCTGCATGGTTGAATTTCTACCCAAATGTCATGGGCTTGGTTGTCGCATGTTTTCACAATGCGTGCCGCCAGGGTGCCCCTGTTTGAGAAAGAGCATCGGTGGTTCATGTGGAATTGATCGTTCCTGACCACATAATCCCTTTGGATCCTTTTTGAGGTCATTTTTGGATCTGGGCAGAAACATCACCACCCGTACCCAGACACTCCGTGGGACTGGTATATTTTCCGTCATGTTCATTGGGGTGGATTCGGCTCGGGGGTTTGACAGTATTCCATCAATGAAGTGTCGTAGAGTGATGCTATTTGGGGCAATCCTTCAGGCTGATGTCGCCACAGCAAGTGACAACAAGTCAATAACAACCTGCAGTGGGCACGTGTGAGTGAAAGCCCTTTTTGTAGGTGGGCGTGAGTAGCAAATATGGCCCAGTCTCAAACCGGTTCAGTTTCTAGGCATTTCTAGGGAAGACATGCACTTGGCATCACTTGAAAAAAAAATGAAAAACTGTCCGACATGGACTTCGGAGAGCAGTTCTTGGGAGAGCAGCCTGACTGGAAGGGACTCCATTCATTCTTTTGGGTTTCTGGGCAGCTGGCCACCTGAGCCACTCGAGGGCAACCCTCCGGTCGCACCAAGGTGGAAGGTGGAAAATGCCAAGGAATCTGCGAGCTACGAGCGGGGATGTGAGCTGCGAGCTGCTCAGGGTGTAGTTTGACGATGTTTTACCCAGGAACGAACTCTTGACTTGGATCCTCTTCAATTCTTCAACGCGTTTGTTTGAGAGACAGTGCGCCCCTTAAATCAGCTATAGACTAGGGATGACATGGGATGACTAAGGCATTCATTTCTCCAACATGAATATGAGAGATGGCCAACGACTGCTGTTCGTGACCCGTCCTTCCAGTCCGGGGATGTGCATGGTGCGACTTGGGATGATGTCCAGCGGAGTCCTTGCGATGGAACAGACGGTTTAGACGCTTTACTTGGGTCTTTACTTGTTGGATGATAGATTAAGGGACATAAGTCCAACTGTTCTAACTGTTCTGATGTAGGATGATGTAGGACATTATAGGTGAATCGGCCAGTTGTGGCTTGAACCAATTTCTCAAACGCAGTCTCAAAAACACATCGCCCTGCAGTACCTGCGATTCACAGAACATGATGCAGTGACCCTGAACATGGACCCAAGTAAAAACAAAGGTGCTTAAGACGGCGATGCCTCATTCGTTCGCTTCTCTTCAAGCTAAGAGGTTGGTTTACCGTTTACCGAACCAACAGGTCGAAATTTATGGATCCCAAATAGGTCTACAATTACCAAAACAGCAACCAAAACAGGTCCAAACTTACGAACTCTTCCACCTTTTCATGTTGCCGTCTTCATAGGCTGTTCCGCCTCCTGGCGAGGATGGTGACAGTGTTGCCAGCCGCGACACCTCTGCAGGTGCCGCGAGCTCAGAGATTCACGGTGTAGAGCAGATCGTTTGGCCAAACGCAGTTCACACGATCCTTTTTCGGACACACGCGGATGGCTCGCTCTGGACGGCTACAGTCCGTGTTCAAACGCCAGCGCTTTGCCGGACTCTTGGAACATACGACCCCTCTGGATGAAACGGAAGCGCTTGTTTGTTCAAAGCGATTCCTGGCCTGACGAAGGAGCAGCGACTTTGCCCAGACTGCTAGACTGCTAGAAGACGATGAGAGACGATGAGCAACGACGACTTTGTTTTGCTCAAGAAACCAGAAGAAGCCATTTCCTTTTGCACCACTTGTACGGGTTGACAAGGTGTATATAAATTAACTTTGATCAAAACCAAAGGAGGCCGGAAGACTTTGGTTTGAAACCGAGAAGGAATTGGAGAAGGGTCGTGCTGCACATCAACGGCATGCTTGGCATG